CCTAGCCGCTTGAGCTATAGGCGCCAAGCCAACAACCAAATTTTTAAAAAGCACTTTCATATTTCTGGTGCCCTAAGTTGCTCCAGGCATATCTTGTATTTTCTTTTCCCAGATTTGGAATTAACCAGTTCTCCAGAAAGTTCTGGTATTTTTTTTTTTTTTTAATTTGGGAATGGTATTTAGAAACTGTGGTCTGGGAAATAGGTGTGTTTATTACTACACAAATATCACTGTTTCTCACCTCTCAGTGGATAGAGCTATCTGTGTATGCACACACATATTTTTCTTTTTTTTTTTTTTAGGCTAGGAAAGCAACTTTTTTTAAGAGACATGGTCTAGCTCTGTCACCCAGGCTGCAATGTAGTGGCCCAGTCATAGCTTACTTGTAACCTGTAGTTCCTGGAATCAAGTGATCCCCTTGCTTTAGCCTCCTGAGCAGCTGGGACTACAGGGGCATGCCATCACACCCAGCTAATTTTTAAAATTTTTTGTGGAGCCAGGATCTTGCTGTGTTGTCCTGGCTGGTCTTGAATTCCTGGCCTCAAGTAGTCCTCCTGCCTCTGCCTGGTTAATAGTGAGTGAGAAAACGTGCCATTTTCACAGGCTCTTAGCTTCCATTTCTCAGAAATAAACAGTACATTATATCAAAACTCATAGGGAATTCCTTCAAACTAGAGAAACCAAAATTTATAAAAGATTGTACCAGATTTCAGGCATAAATAAAAACAAAAAAAAACTGCTGCTATAATCTGATTATTTAAGTCAATCACAGGACTTAAGATATATACGAGGGTGGTGGGTTCAAACCCAGCCCCAGCCAAACTGCAACAAAAAAGTAGCTGGGCGTTGTAACAGGTGCCATTAGTCTCAGCTACTCAGGAGGCTGAGGCAAGAGAATGGCCCTAGCCCAGGAGTTGGAGGTTTCTGTGAGCAACAAAGTGAGACTCTTGTCTCTAAAAAAATAAAAAGAAAGAAAGAAAAAAAAAAACCATAGGAGATATAAAGAAAAACCCATACATTGGCCCATGTGCTGGTGCAGACTTGGAACGGATAAAGCCCTTGAAACCTGTGGAGAGACTGGTTTTCAGCCCTTAAAGAATTAAAAACCTGGGTCGTGTCTGTGGATCAAGGATTGGGGCACTGGCCCCATATACCAGAGGTGGCGAGTTCAAACCCAGCCCCAGCTAAAAACTGCAAAAAAAAAAAAAAAGAATTAAAAACCTTACTGGAAGGAGTACTAGTCATCACCAGAGTTAGCTTAGCTATTCCCTGTCTCCTCCCACTAGTAGTCAGGGCTATACGTTGGATACTTGGGATAGATGACAAAAAAAAAAAAATGAATGAACCTCATCACATGTGTTCTATATGAAATCCTGCTGACTCCTACATGAACAAGCTGATATTGAGATCCCAAATTAAAATATATATTGGAGTCTCAAAGGGGGGAGTGAGAGAGGAGACCCACAAAAAGTAAGGTCTAAGTCTGAGAGAACAGGTCTTCTCAAGGAGAGCCCAAGGACATGGCTGCAAGGTCCTCCCTGTGGTGATGCAGCTCTTAGGAATTTGTAGAAACTTAGTTTTCTGGGATGCTTGATTCCACGTCTGTAAAAGCCTTCGTAAAAGCTACTTCTCCAGCTTGATTTAAACTGACCAATGAGAAGGGTACCCATGGGCTGGAACTTTTTGACTGACAATAAAAAGGAGAAGACTGAGCCAGTCGGAGGCCATTTTGGGACTCTGGTCCACTCGTCGCTCTACCAGCTGGAATAAAGCCCTTCCTTTAAAAAAAAAAAAAAGATATAATTATTAGTGATTGTAGCATTTTGAAATTTGTATAACTAAACCTTCCCCCTCCAGTTTCTTATCTTGCTATGCTTATGATTTGGCAGGGTTGCCTGATTCTGAGCGATGAACTGAACCATGCATCACTAGTTCTGGGAGCCAGACTGTCGGGAGCAACCATTCGAATCTTCAAACATAACAGTGAGTTTGACTTTGCGTTGGAAATTGCTACTGGCCTTGGTGTGTACTATTCTTTGGGTCAGCGGTGGTGGTGACATTAGTTCTATTAACAGTTGAAAATGCAAGTGAAACTGAAGTAGCAACATTTAAAATGTTCTTCTGATCCAGTTTTTAAAAAGTTATTCTTTTCCTCATTGGAATAAAAATAGAAGTCAAAGGAAACCTTTTATATGAATATAGTACTCCTTTTATTGGACTTTCACAATTTCCATCCTGTTTCCTTATTTACAAATCTCTTCTTCAAACACATTTAGTAGATGCCTACAGTGTATCTTACTGTAACACTAGCAGCATTTGGATGAGTAAATTAGGCTCCCTGATCTCAAGGATCTCTGACAGGTCAGTGAAGAGACTTAATAGCACAACCAGAACTTACAGTACAACAAAAAGATGCAGAAATACTGATATGAACAGATGCCCTGAGAACACAGAGATGGGTGGCACAAAACCTAATCCTTTTCTTCCTAAATAGTAATATCTATGTGTATTTTTAAATTGATTATTTACAATAAAAATGCATAACTTTCATAGTTACAATACACATAGGGACACGTGTACACCTACAGACCAAAGTCTAGAAGAATGTATACCAGGACGTTAGTTTGTACCTCTGGATGGAAGGATTGTAGGTGGTTACCTTTTTCTTTGTCTTGTCCTAAAATGTTTTATAATGAGAATGGTACAAACAGTATTTTGTTTTATGTAAATGAGATCTTACTAAACATCACTGAGTAATCTGTAATTTTCTTTCTTTTTTTTTTTTTTTGCAGTTTTTGGCCAGGGCTGGGTTTGAACCTGCCACCTCTGGTGAATGGGGCCAGTGCCCTACCCTTTTGAGCCACAGGCACCGCCCTCTGTAATTTTCTTTTTACACTATATTGTGAACATTATTTGTCAGTATCTGTGACTGTATTTCCTCCTTTATGTCACGATGGCCATCAGCGTTTGAATGTGCCATAATTTGTTAATCAGTCCCTCAGTTGGACAAGATTTCTGATTTTTTAACCAAAAACATCACAACACTCACATTTTTAGTACAATTATCTGATCAGTACCTTAGAATAAATTTTTAACAGTTAAAAGGTGTAAATTTTTAATACTTTTCCAAATTACTGGTAAGCATTGTATAAATTTTTGCTGAAAATGTGACTGTTTGTACTCATTGGTCAACATGGGCTATCATGACTCATTTAAAATCTTTCTGAATTTAATAAGTAAATAACATGTTAATTTTTATTTCCTTGATTATTAGTTGTAGAATAGCTTTTTATGTTAATTTGTATTTCTTTATAAATTAGACATTTTCAAATTGGTTCTCTTTTTGGTGATAAGAACCCTATTATTTTATTTTATTTTTTTAATTTCAGGTTAATGTGAAGGTGCAGACAACCAGGTGACAATATTTGAATTTGTTAGGTAGAGTCCCTTTTTTAGTTGTGTCCCAAACCCAAAAGGTGTGCCGTATTACCCCTATGTTATGCCCATTAAGTGGAAGCACCCCAAATCCTACTCCAGTCCCTCATTTCCCCTCTAGCCAACTTGAATTGAAATGAGTTTTTCTATGTGGGCATGAATTATATTGTCTACTGAGGAGCCCTTTTATTAATTATCCTTTATTTTATGTTATGCTACTTTTTATTTATTTTTGACTTGGTTTTAGTGTCTTGCTATTTAGTCTCATTAAAATGTTTATGTTATCACACTTGTGGTGTTATGACTTTTGGATTTTACCTAATGCTGTCCCCATTCTGAGATCGTAAGATTATTCTCTTACATTTTCTTCTGGTAGTTTTTGTGGTATATTTTTTATTTAAATTTATATGAAATTCAGGGGGCACATTATGGGAGAGAGACTGAATTATTTTTCTTTAGTAGACAATATGGTTAAACATTCTGCTATAGATATTTCTTTTTGTCTAAATTTTTGAATAAATACTTATTTTTCTCCTTTCTATATACATGGGTCACTACAAAAGTTTTTTTTTTTTTTTTTTGAGACAGAGCCTCAAGCTATCCCCCTGGGTAGAGTACTGTGGCATCACAGCTCACAGCAACCTCCAACTCCTGGGCTCAGGCAAGTCTCTTGCCTCAGCCTCCCAAGGAGCTGGGACCACAGGCACCCACCACAATGCCCGGCTATTTTTTGGTTGCAGCTGTCATTACTGTTCTTGGCGGACCTGGGCTGGATTTGAACCCGCCACCTTAGGTGTATGTGGCTGGCGCCTTAGCCATTTGAGCCACAGGCGCCGAGCCACTACAAAAGTTTTGAGACAGTCTGTGTTATGGTCCATTATTTCACTTCCAAGAAATAGTTCAACAGTGCCCTTGCTGATTCACCTGTGCAAGTTTCAACTTGCTTGGCTTAATCATGTTGCTGGGAGGGCTGGACTTGTTTTTGGATTTTATGTTTCTTGATTTTTGTGTATCTCAAAACTTTCATAATGACCCATGTATAAACATAGGAGTCTAAAATAATGAGTACATTTTTATTTGTCTCCTGCTGGTTGCCCCATGTTGCTCTCTGCAGGACTAAAGGCCTTGGACCAGGAGGGGTTAGTTCTATGCAGAGTGTCTCTTATCTCTTGACTAGGTAGTATGCAGATTATTTTGTTACAAATAACTGAATATGTAAGCATCCACAACTCTGGCTGTATTATTTGTGTTTGTGTTAGGTGTTTTTATTACCATTTCTCTTTTCTGTGAATGTCTGGGTAAAGAGCAAAATCATGTAGTTTTATAATTCCTTTGTCCAGTGATGAGCAAGAAAGAATACAAAGTCAGAGTTTTTGATAGGGTGTCTTCCCTCCCCAGACTTAGTGTTGCTTAAATTTTGAGGGGTTTTTTTAAGGACTTAATTTCAGAGCAGATATTTTAAGTATTAAGTCTGTAGTTGTGGCAACAATGGTTTTCAAAGCATTTGTCTTTAACAGGGAGAGTGTGACCCTCATTAATGGCAATACCAGCCAGATTGTTTCCTATGCCCATTAACCACCTTTAGGACCAACAGAGCCGCAAGAACTTGGTCATGTATAGGCAACTGATGTAGTCAAACATGGAATAATCTCAACTGATCTCCAAGCTTGCTTAACACATGGACTCATGGGCCAGGCGTGGTGGCTAATGCCTGTAATTTTTGCACTCTAGGAGGCCACAGGTAGATCTCCCGAGCTCAGGAGTTTGAGACCAACCTGAGCAAGAGCCAGGACCTATCTCTAAAAATAGCTGGGCGTTGTGGTAGGCACCTGTAGTCCCAGCTACTTGGGAGGCTGAGCCAGGAGGATTTCTTGAACCCAAGAGTTTGAAATTGTTAGGAGCTATGACACCATGGCACTATACTGAGGGTAGCAAAGACTCTGTCTCAAAAAAAAAAAAACACAAGAAATACCACATGGACTCACAGTTTCCCCAGCGTGGTGTATTTTTAGTCTAGGGCTCTCTAGCAAGCATTTATTGAGTACATCCTAGCTGAAAGGACATGGAGCATACACTTGGAAGTTCCCCTCCCGCCCCCGAATTTGTTTTTTAGGAAGTATATGTGTCTGCGGTTATTTATTCACACTCTTTTTGCTCCGTTGCCTTTTTTTTTTTTTTTGGTGTTTTGGCAGGGCAGGGCTTGAACCTGCCACCCCCAGTATATGGGGCCGGTGCCCTACTCGTTGAGCCACAGGTGCCTCCCTGCTTCATCGTCTTTATGCATTTATTTCTGAGTGACTCACTAGGTTAAGAGATACAGTTTGATTCTATGAGCACAAACCTGTGAACCAGATCAGTCACTACAGTCATTTAGTTAAGTTTTGATGGTTTTGAATGTTTGTTACATTTGGAGTTTAATTCAGGGTGGCAATAATTCACCCATTTCCCTGTTTTTTTTTCTACCTAACTCTAAGTATGTTAATGTTCTTTGCTGTCTGAGATACACTTCCTGAATAAGGAATGTATATTTGCATTTCTGGAATACATTTAGGAAAGAGGAAGATGCTTTGTGACTTTGGTTTTGTGTGTGTGTGTGTGCTTTAGATATGCAAAGCCTAGAGAAGCTATTGAAAGATGCCATTGTTTATGGTCAGCCTCGGACACGAAGGCCCTGGAAGAAAATTCTAATCCTCGTGGAAGGGATATATAGGTAATCCTGCTTTATTATTCTCACCTTTGTGACTTGGGCCCGTGAAGGAACTCAAGTCTAGCCCCCACTGGTAACTAAGGAGACTGTGACTTGTTAAAATACCTGACACAGTCAGTTCTAGAACAGAAGGCTTTTTGTCTGACTTCGTTTTTTATTCTTTGTGTTACTACATGGCCTCCAAATTCCCCCTTCTGTTTGGGTCTTTTTTTTTTTTCCTACTGTTTGTAGAGGGAACTTAAATATACAAGCAAGAATTGAAATATGTATTATAATATGTCAAAATAAAGTATACAATTTAATTTTAAGAAGTACTTTTTTTAAAAATTTTTTTAGAAACAGTCTCACTTTGTTGCCCTTGGTAGAGTGCCATGGCATCACAGCTCACAGCAACCTCCAGCTCTTGGGCTTAGGCAGTTCTCTTGCCTCAGCTTCCTGAGTAGCTGGGACTACAGGCGCCTGCCATAAACCTGGCTATTTTTTTGTTGCAATTTGGCCCAGGCTGGGTTCAAACCTGCCACCCTCGGTATATGGGGCCATTGCCCTACTCACTGAGCCACAGGCGCCACCCAAGAAATACTTTATTTTGGTTAACTTTTGTAGCTCTTACGCTTATTCTTGCTTTCTAATGTTTTTTGTTCTTTTGTATAATTTTAATTGCATGTGCAGTGTGATGCAAAGTCTAATGATGCCTGGCATTACAAATTTTATAAGAATCTGCTGTGACTTTAATTCTTTCTTTCATGAATTAAGATCACTTATGTTCTAGTGCTTATTTTAAAAACTCTGATCTCCTTTTCCCTAGTCTTCCTCCTAGCCATAGCATAATCTAACTTTGTTAGTTTAAAACCCCAGGTAGAGGGCATGGTGGCTCACACCTGTAATCCTAGCACTCTGGGAAGCCAAGGAGTGTGGCTCTATGGAGCTCAGGCATTTGAGACTAAGCTGAGGAAGATAGAGACCCTGCTTCTACTACAAATAGAAAAAGTAGGCAGGTGTTGTGGCGGGCACCTGTAGTCCCAGGTACTTGGGAGGGTGAGGCAAGAGAATCTCTTGAGCTCAAGAGTTTGAGGTGGCTATGAGCTCTGATAATGCCACAGCACTCTACCCAGGGCCACAGAGTGATCTCAAATAAATAAATAAATAAAAAGAGTTGCCAGACCATTTAAAAAGCAATAAATTCAAAATCTTAATAATGAAGTACCCAGCTTCTAATTTTGAGAATTAAAAAATCTCAGTGTATGTCCTTTTTCTCCTGTTTTACCAGCATGGAGGGATCTATTGTTCGCCTTCCTGAAGTGATTGCCCTCAAGAAGAAGTATAAGGCCTACTTGTATCTGGATGAGGCTCACAGCATTGGGGCCTTGGGCCCTACAGGTCGAGGTGTGGTGGAGTACTTTGGCCTGGATCCTGAGGATGTGGATGTTATGATGGGAACATTCACAAAGAGCTTTGGTGCTTCTGGAGGATACATTGGAGGCAAGAAGGTAAATGGACCTTGAGAATGAGCACTTACAGTTAAAGATACCTGCTACTAGACTTGACAACTCATGCTTAGCAGCTGGGGTCCTGAACTAGGATGTGGAGATCTTGAATTTGACTGTGGCTTAGGCTCATAGTGTCAGCAGGTTTCACACTTCAGCTGCCTAGAGAGTGACTCTGATGTCGCCTCACTGAACTAAAGCCTGGTTCTGTTCATTGTGTGTTGTTTTCTTATTTGTGCTTCTTTCTAAACTACACGCTGGTCTGCGATATAGAATACCCTCTGTGTGAAAGAACACACAGTGGTGCTTCCTCTTTGCCACAGTCTTCTATTGGGTTTGCATTGTGTCTCAATTTCAAAAGTATCGGTGTTGTCATAGGAGCCAGTGGGAATAGAAGACCACTGGCCCTGCCCTTGGACTCAAACTCATCGTTGGTTAACATACAGTCAGGAAGAAAAAAAGATTTTGCTAACTTTGGGGTACTACAAAGGGTTGTCTTTTTCAATTTTAAAATTGTATAATGAATTCTGAAGCTGCTAAGAATTCATGTGGCACAGAGGAAATGGTGAGCCATAAAACCAGAGGCCTGGGTTTGAATGTCTTTGTTTACTTGTGAAAACATAGGGAAACCTTCCAGTTTTCTTATCAGTAAAATAGAGGTAAATATGACTAGCTTGGAAGACTGTAGTAAGGATTTAGAAAGTAATGTATATCCAAGCTGCAACTCGGAGACACCTTGAAAGCACGTCAGGGAAAGAACCCAGTCACAAAAGGTCACATATTCTGTTCTTTATACCAAGAATAGGCATAGAAACAGAAAGTATCTTAGTAGATGCCAGGGACTGAGGGGATGAGGAAATGGGAAGTAACACCAGTGAGTGCAAGGTTTCTCTTTAGGGTGATGAAAATGTTCTAAAATTAGATAGTGGTGAAAGTTGCACAATTCTGAATATACTAAAAGCCATTGAATTGTACACTTTAAAGAGGTGAGTAGTGTGGTATGTGGCTTATGTCTCAATGAAGCTATTGTTTTTTAAAACTGCAACATTAAGGAAAAAGTGATATATGTCAAGTATTTATGTGTGGCCCCATAAGTACGTGCTCAGAAATAGTCTTTACTTTAAAATTCAACACTGGGAGTATTACAGAATGGTCAATCTCTTAATAATTGATTGCCTTTTAGGGAAAACCCATTTTTTTTTAACTTCCTGATTTTTTTTTAAAATTAAATCTTAGCTGTGTATGTTAATGCAGTCACCGGGTACAGTGTGGTGTTTTTCATATACAGTTTGAAATACTCTCATCAAACTGGTTAACGTAGCCTTCATGTCATTTTCTTAGTTATTAAGACATTCATACTCTGCTTTTAGAAAGATTCACTTGTACCCTTGTAAGATAAATCATAGAAGTGACCCCACCCCCTACCCTCCCTCCAGGAAAACCCATTTTTAATGTGTTTTAATCAGGTTTAATAGATTCTTTTTTTTTTTTTTTTTTGAGGCTGGGTCTCACTATGTTGCCCTCAGTAGAGTGCCGTGGTGTGGCAGCTCACAGCAACTTCAAACTCTTGGCCTTAAGCGATTCTCTTGCCTCAGACTCCCAAGTAGCTGGGACTACAGGCACCTGCCACAATGCCCAGCTATTTTTTGTTGTAGTTGTCATTGTTGAGCAGGCCTGGGCTGAATTCAAACCTACCAGCCACGGTGTATGTATGTGGCCGATGCCCTAACCACTGAGTTATGGGCACCAAGCCTGGTTTGATAGATTCTTGTCTCACATTTTACCTTTTTGTTAATGGGACCAGGCTCACTTTGGAGAGTGAATTGCTTTTTGGCAAGATGTGTTGTGGTGACCCAAAGGATAGAAAAATAATATTATGGGAGATCATTTAAGTATAATATATTTATGCTTCTGGGTTTTTTTTTTTCTTGGCTTTGGTTTATTTTGTTTGTGGGTACAATTTTTAGTATCTTTGAGGCGAAACTTTTATAGCCACATTTTGTGTTTTTTTATTTGCTTCTGGTACATGTGCTTCTTATGTACACATTTAAAGATGTAATGAAGTTAATAGGTGTCAAAAATAAGGATATACAATTATGAATAATTATTTTTGAAATGCTTGTAATGACAAGACAGATTTTACTCTTTCAGTGAGGTGGCATTAGAATTTTCTGGCACATTTATGTCATTTTATAAATCTCTGTGTATCTGGTGGAAATTCGTATATCCTTAAAATTGATGTTAGAGCACTGTTTATTATTTAGGAATGTAAGGATGGGCTTTGCAGGTGTAGGGTGAGATACAAGTGACATTTTCTGTGATACTTAGAAGTAAACCACTGTATCTGAAAAGCAGTCCGGACACTTTAATTCAACTTTGTACATTTATTTGTAACAGTAAATTATGTATTTTCCAAATCCAGAGGTATTCTTTAAAACTCGTTTTCTGCCCATGTTGTCACATGTTTAAGAAACCAAACAAAATCTAAGGACTTTGCCATACCATCTTGGTTGACCCTACATCTCAGATTAGTGTTCCTGTTCCAGTACTATTTATTTAAGGCAGGAGTCCACTAGCACCTACAAGGAAAGTGCTGATGTGATGTTGCCAGTGAGTTCAAGAATTGCATCTAATTATCTACCTTGGAACACCCCAGGAGCTGGTAGACTATCTGCGAACACATTCCCACAGTGCAGTGTATGCCACGTCACTGTCGCCACCCGTAGTGGAGCAGATCATCACATCTATGAAGTGCATCATGGGGCAGGATGGCACCAGCCTTGGTGAGTCTTTGTGTTCTTGAAACATTTCCTAGGCCCACTTAGCAGCCAAGCGTGCTGCTTTTCTTGAGCTTTTTTCCTAAAAGAGTCAGGTTTACTAACGGAGAGCTGGCTGGCATGCAAGGCCTTAGTCTCCATGGACACATTTGCCAGTGTTTAGGTGCACATTCCACGAGAGCTAGATTGGCTCACTTCTGTGGAATTTTCTGACTTAGAGATGGCAAGGCTTTACTCTTACTATCCTAACATACTCTCTTAACTTTTAGGTAACATGCCCATGGGAGTCTTGAATTGCATAATTTTATGTGAAGATGTAAATCACTCTGTAGTGATGTTTCATTAGCAGCATATGTAAGAGCTGCTGTTTCCATGAATTAATATATTTAATGTCTTTCTAAAGACATTAACATATAGTAGGTAATAGAGGACATTTAACATATAGTAGGTAATAGAGGACTTCCTGAATCTGTTTGTTTTGTCTTTGGTATCCAAACTGGATGTCTTAACTTAAACATGCTAATATGAACAAAAAAGTGCGATTGTTCACTTTCTGGTATTTGACTTTTATTTCTATCACCAGAGGGCACTGTTGACTGCAGAGCAGTTATTCTAAAATGAGTGTTTCTTCTTTTCACTTGAAAAAATATTTCCATCTAGTATGTCACATACAGTAATTTCACTTGTCTTTTAACGCTTCTGAAGTCAGTTTGGCTCTTGTAAAAGCTTTCACATTATCAGTCTTACAGTCTCCACCTATATTTATATCATATTTTGTTGAAAGGTTGATGTGGCTGCATTGAATAAAGGGGTACATGTGATTTTGTTTTTAAGACTGTCTTCTTAATTCAGAATTTTAACATAATACAGTATTTTTTCTGATCTGTGATAGGTCCTTGTTATCTCTAATGAGAGATTTTTGGCAATAATGAAGTGTAGTCATTTACAGTTTTGTGAACTGATGCCTAGAAGAAGAAGATATTTTGTTAATGTTGCAAACATAGCAGGAAGCCTGGTGAATAGGGCCCTGTTCACAATTGCTAGGACTGGCTGGGTGTGGTGGCTCATGCCTGTAATCCTAGCACTCTGGGAGGCCAAGGTGGGTGGATTGCCCGAGCTCATAGGTTGGAGACCAGCCTGAGCAAAAGCGAGACCCCTGTCTCTAAAAAATAGCCAGGCATTGTGGCAGGCATCTTTAATCCCAGCTACTTGGGAGGCTGAGACAAGAGAATCACTTGAGCCCAAGAGTTTGAGGTTGCTGTGAGCTATGATACTATGGCATTCTACCAGGAGTGACAAAGTGAGACTCCGTCTCAAAAAAAAAATTGCTAGGTCTTTATCTCTTCTCCTTCCAATTCAGTGTTACTGGAAATAGTGTTCTTTAATCTAAGATATGTATATTACATGTAGCTAGCATTCATCTAGTTACTTTACACAGGTGTTTTTATCTTACTGATTCAGCGCACGCATTTAGGTGACTAAGAAATGGCAAACAACAGCTATCAAAGTGAGTGTAGGATAACTTCTTTGCCCTATTCTAGAGTATAGATCCGTATGTGTTACCTCAGGTAAATGACTTATCGGTACTAAGTGATGAAATCTGGGCCTTGCCCGTGGTGAAAAATGGAAATACAGTGATTGGATGTAGGCTGTGGGTCAGCCCCAGTTTTCCAGTGTTTTTCCTCTCTAGCCACCCCTCAAGCTGCATGGCGTCACACAACAGCCGTCTTATTATGCTCACAGATTCTGAGAGTCAGGAATTGGGTCAGGGCACAGCTCCTCAGTGTCTGGGGCTAGCTCGCTGGGATGGTTGGGGGGTGGGATCATCCGGAGGCTTCTTCATTCACATGTCACCTGAGATGGAGTGACGTGGAGGCCACGCTAAGCCGAGGCTGTTAACCAGAGCACCTTCATGTGCCCTTTCCTTGTGATGTGGGCTCCTCATAATGTGGTGCCTGTGTCCCCACAAAGGACATTTTAGAGAGCACACATTCCGAAGGAACCTGGCAGGGCCAACCCAGATCAAAGGGGATGAGGAATTAGACTCTACCTCTCCAATGGGGGACGTATGTCAAAGAATTTTTGGCCATTTTAAAAACTGTGTTTCTACCAGCTTTTAAATAACATAATAACATAATTAGTATAACAATTAGCTATATTGTTTCTCTACCAAAACAGGTTAATGAAAATCAAACTGAAAGTAGAAATAAATACCATTTCTCACAAAATCTGCTATGTAAACTTAAATTTGGTTTGATTTCTTTTAGATTTGAGTATGTTACAGTAATGCTTATTTTTATGGCATTGTTAAATACATCTTTTTATTAATCCTTGTAGGAAAAAGATATAAACCAAGGCAGCTACCCTTTGCCTGTGCCTTAAGACAGTCTTTATGAAGGGGTATCTGAGCCCAGGTGCAGTGGCTCATGCCTGTAATCCTAGCACTCTGGGAGTCTAGGAGGGTGAATTGCTGGAGCTCAGGAGTTCAAGACCAGCATGAGCAAGAATGAGACTCCATCTCTACTAAAATTAGAAAAAGTAGCCAGATACTATGGCAGGCACCCATAGTCATAGCTACTCAGGAGGCTGAAGCAGGAGGATCGCTTGAGCCCAAGAGTTTGAGGTTCCTATGAGTTAGGCTCATGCCATGGCACTGCAGCCTGGGCAACAGAATGAGATTCTGTCTCCACAAAAAAAAAAAAAAAAAAAAGCATATCTTCAAGTAATTACCTGAATGTGATTTTTTTTTTTTGAGACGGAGCCTCAAGCTATCCCCCTGGGTAGAGTGCCATGGCATCACGCTCACAGCAACCTCCAACTCCTGGGCTCAAGCGAGTCTCCTGCCTCAGCCTCCCAAGTAGCTGGGACTACAGGCGCCCGCCACAACGCCTGGCCATTTTTTGGTTGCAGCCATCATTGTTGTTTTGGCAGGCCCGGGCTGGGGATTCGAACCCACCACCTTAGGTGTATGTGGCTGGCACTTTAGCCGCTTGAGCCACAGGCGCCAAGCCCTGAATGAGATTTTATAACAGAAATGCCCTGCCACAAGAAAAATTTAATCCCTTATGTTCAGGACACTGAATTTCATTAATTCCACAAACCATGAGGATCTCACCACACGTTAGACTCTGTGAATCAGAACTCATAGGAAATAGGCAGACAAGAAGACCATTTGAATCAAGTGTGTACTTGGGAAGTATTAGAGATGCAGAGAATAGTTGGTTGTTGTATTAACCCCAGACAGTACTATAGCATAGAAAAATTGAAGTTTTATTAATATTTGAGTGCTGTGTGCTAGGTGCTTTTTGAGGCACTCATGATTCATCACAGAATAAAACACCCCCAAATTCTTGCCTTATAGGGAAAGTGAATTATATAGTGTGCTAGAAAGTGGTAAATTCTGGGGTGGTCAAGGGGACATAAGTAGGGAAGGTGAGGAGTCAGAAGCACTGGGGACCTGGTTTGTAGTTTTGAATAAGGTGGTCATTGGGAAGGAAATTTTTTGCAAAATTCGTAGGAGGTGATGATATAGCCATGGGGAGAGAAGGCCCTGAGATGGAGGTGACTTGTGTTCAAGGACTAGCAAGGTGGCCTCTGTGGCCAGAGCATCATAGTACAAAGTAAAATGATTAAAGATGAGGCCCGTGAAGGAGGGTGATTGTGCAGAGGATGGAAGTTCTGGCAAGAGGCAGTCCTGTAAGGCTGTTAGGTTGACACGGACACACACTACTTCCCTTGCTCTGGGTAGTATTAAATTCAAATTCTTGAATAGTTTTTCTGTGGGCTGCTCAATTTTGGCAGGTTTGTGGCCTATTTCAGATAAGTTAAGAATTTTGTTGACCATTCAGATTTTATGAAAAGTGCAGGAAATAATGTACTCCCTACCCATTATTTTTATGTCAGTGTTTTACCCTATTCATCTCACTTTTTAAGAAGAAATGGAAAGGCATATAAAACTGTTTTGTTATCTTATCCTGATCCTGTTTCTCTTGCCTCTTCTGCAGAGATGATCACTGTTTTGAAATTCTCTTATACTGTGTTATAACAACTTGCAAAAATGCTTATGAGATTTAACCATCAAAATTCAAAACCCACTATCACAAATCTTTATCTTCATACCACTGACAGTGCGTTCAGTGTGTGTGAATCTGGGCAGGAGGCTGGAGAGTGCTCTGTAGTCGTAATTCAGCTCTTTCCCTGATACGACCCTGTCTCTTCTCGGGTTAAGCGTGTTGTACATAATCTCAGTCATCTTCCTCACATGACAAATGAAAATGTCCTGTGACGTGTAGAAAGGACCTGTGAAGAAAGTCAGTCTGAGCCTAAGGGGCCCAAAATAGGGAGATAAGTGAGTGCGTAAATGGGAAACAATGAATTTTACACTGTGCAGTGTCACTGAGTAAAGCATGCCATGTGCCCAGATTTTTAGGGGTAGTATTTTAGATGTTTTATAGCTTACAGAAATTCTTAGTGGATTGTTTTGTACATATTTAGTAGTGTTTGAGTGTATGGGAGTAAATTGTTTGCAGTTTTTGGATGAGCCAGGAACGTGTTTCAATTTTTCCTTTTTTTTTGGCCGGGGCTGGGTTTAAACCCACCACCTCTGGTATATGGGGCCGGTGCCCTCCTTGAGCCACAGGCACCGCCCTTTTTTTTTTAAGAGACAATCTCATTTTGTCACCCTTTGTAGAGTACCATGGGGTCATAGCTCACAACAACCTCAAACTCTTGGGCTCAAGTGATCCTTTTGCCTCAGGATCCCAACTAGCTGGGACTATAGGCGCCCTCCACAATGCCTGGCTAATTTTAGAGACGGGGTCTTGCTGCGGCTCAGACTGGTCTCAAACCTGTGAGCTTTGGCAATCTATTCACCTTGGCCTCCCAAGTACTGGGATTACAGGGGTGAGCTGCTGTGCCCTGCCAATTTTTCTTATTTTTAATAATACAATGTAGGTTTTGCTACTTGAAAATTACACACTGGGCTTGGCGCCTGTAGCTCAGTGGGT